GGGTCATTTGGTGCTTGCCCTGTTTGAGCAGTGATACCCTAGATAGCTATGCCATGGAGCCCATTCGTATAATGAAAGACTATGGGAAAGACTTTGGCTCCATGGCAATTGAACTGTATGTGTGTGCTCTGAGTGCCATTCAGTAATAATGTGCGCTCAGACCTAAGCTATCTGGGGATATGTTGCATGTACCTGTTTTGTGCAATGGCTGCACAGTTATGTTTTTATGTGTTTTATTGTCTTTTGCTGCTATGTGTTCAATGGAGTTTTGCCTCTGTCTTTGGAGATAATTGGATTACTTCCCAATTATCTCCAGGATACAAGACTCTGTGGAACTGGTTTTGGGCAGAAAAGCCATGCTTCCTTTGGTCACAAAGGACTACGATCTATCTTTTGAACCACTGGACCAATTTGTATGATTTTGACAATGTTTGTATTTGGAGCATGCTGATTCTGAGTGTATTGTATGTGTTTATTGGTTGTGTTCCAAAACCCTGTGGGTGGTACTAATGTGTAAGAATGTGTACATAAGCACAATAAACCCACAGCTCTGTCTGTTCACTGCTTGACCCTCAACACGGAGCTTTGTCTCATTCTTGGGGGGATTTATTGTATGCTGTTCCAGTTTGACTGCTAGGAGTGTAAACCTATTCGTATGGTTTCCTATTCGGCTGTTTACAGCATTCATATGGTTTCCTGTTCGGCGGATTGGTGTTCTGCAGTAGCTGTGCCTGTGTCTCTGGAAGGGAAGATCTACTAAACGGCGGTTTAACCCTTTTATGCTGAGGGTGCCGTTACACTATTTAGTGTTAGTGTCTAATGCTGTTGATTGTCACTGTGCATTGCTATTTTTTAGCACTGTGAGTGGTACTCATTGTCACTGCGTATTACTATTTATTGCAACTGTGCATTGCTATTTATTGCCGCTTGGTATTGGTATCTGTGTGCTATTTATTGTCACTGTGTATTATTATTTATTGCAACTGTGCATTGCAATTTATTGCCAGTTTGTATTAGTATTTACTGTGTGTTGCTAATTATTCTAACTATGTATTGCTATTTATCGTCATGGTGTGTTTTATTTATTGTCACTGCGTATTGCAATTGTCACTGTGTGTGCTATTTATTTTCAATGTGTATTATTTATTGTCACTGTGTGTGCAATTTACCGTTAGTATGTGTGCCATTTACTGTCATTGTATTGCAATTTATTGACACCGTGAGTGCTATTTATTGTCCCTATGTATTGTTATTTATTGTCAGTGTGAGTGCTAGTTATTGTCAGTGTTGCTATTTATTGTCCCTGTGTATTGATATTTTTTATTATTATGATATTTATAGAGCGCCGTCAAATTCCGCAGCGCTTTACAATGGGTGGACGAACAGACATGTAGTTGTAACCAGACAAGTTGGACACACAGGAACAGAGGGGTTGAGGGCCCTGCTCAATGAGCTTACATGCTAGAGGGAGTGGGGTAAAATGACACAAAAAGGTAAGGATAGTATTAGACCATGGGTCGTCAACCTGGTCCCTACCGCCCACTAGTGGGCGTTTTAGGATTCCAGGTGGGCGGTAGGGATTTCTGAGGCTAAATCCTCTTTTTAAGAGGATTTCTCCTTTTGGGCGGGCGCGAGCGGCTCTGCATGCGCAAGTCTTCAGTGACCGGCAGGAGGAAGCGCTCCCTCCTGCCAGGCCACCTTCTGGATCCCCGGCATGGCAGCGTTCTAATCAGTCGCGGCGAGGGAGCTCTAACCTCTCTGCTCTGCTCCCTCGCGCGATGTTTGCTGATGCCGCGGGAGCCGGAATATGATGTCATATTCCGGCTCCCGGCATCCGTAGACAGTCCGCGAGGGAGCAGAGCAGAGAGGTTAGAGCTCCCTCGCCGCGACTGATTAGCCGCCCGCCTAAGTGAAGCCCCACTGGACCCCAGGGACAGATCCACACCAGCTCTCCAGGTAGGGAGGCTGGGTGGATATTTAATATTAATAATTTGTGTGTACATGTGTTTGTCTCTAAGTGTATGTGTGTGTGTGTGTACATGTGTTTGTCTCTAAGTGTATGTGTGTGTGTGTGTATGTGTGTGTGTCTGTAAGTGTATGTGTGTGTGTCTGTAAGTGTATGTGTGTGTGTCTGTAAGTGTATGTGTGTGTCTGTGTCTGTAAGTGTATGTGTGTGTCTGTGTCTGTAAGTGTATGTGTCTGTCTGTAAGTGTATGTGTCTGTCTGTAAGTGTATGTGTCTGTCTGTAAGTGTATGTGTGTGTGTCAGTAAGTGTGTGTGTGTCTGTGGGTCTGTCTGTGCATGTGTGAGTGTCTGTAAGTGCATGTGTGAGTATGTGTATATTTGTGTGTATGTGTTTCAATGTGAGTGTGTGTGTGTGTGTGTATGTGTTTGCCTGTGAGCAGAGTACTTGTAGAATAGAAGAAAGAAGGTGCAGAGTACTTGTAGAATAGAAGAAAGAAGGTGCAGAGTACTTGTAGAATAGGAGAAAGAAGGAGTAGAGTACTTCTAGTATAGGGGAAAGAAGGAGTAGAGTACTTCTAGTATAGAGGAAAGAAGGAGTAGAGTACTTGTAAAAAAGGAGAAGGAAAAAAAAGGAAAAGGAGAGAATTGTTGTTGACTAATAATAGTAAGTGGGCTACCTAGCTCAGCCTTCCTACTGGGCATTGCTATAAGGAAGGTTAAAAAATAGAAAAAAGGGGAAAAAGGTGGGAAGGGGAATTGAGGAGGGAGAGGAGGGGAGCTGACACACAGATGAGAAATCATTTTATGAGCAAACAAAGAAGTCTTCCGATTATCACTGAAAGAGGAGACCTTCGTTTGTTCCTTATGAAAATCGAACCAGATATCAAATATTTAGTCTCGCAGCATCAACCTCAAGGATCTCATTAATCACTAGTAAAGGTAAGCTCAATTTACTTTATAAAGTTAAAAACATTATAAACATGCATAAAGTAGAAATAAAAAGATAAATGTACGTTCATTTATGTATTTTTTAAAACACCCTCCTTTCTAAAAAATATTCCGCGCTTGCGCGAAAACTGGTGGGCGGTAAGGAAATTTTTCCATCAAGAAAGATGCATTAGTGGGCGGTAAGTGGAAAAAGGTTGACTACCACTGTATTAGACTAATGACAGTTGCAGAAGAGGAATAAGTCAGGAGCTATTAACAGTTTAATTGATACGCTTTTATGAAGAAGTGAGTTTTTAATGATTTTTTGAAGGAGTGGAGACTGGGTGAGCATCTAACGGAGGAGGGAAGCGAGTTCCACAGGAACGGTGCAGCCCTCGAGAAATCTTGAAGGCAAGCATCAGAGGCGGGAGTACGTTTTTTCAAGGATCTTGGATGCAAAAGGCAGTAGCGAAATATGACGATAGTTGGATGGGGAGTTAGGGTCAAGGTTGGGCTTCTTTAGAATTGGGGTTACAGTTGCATGGTTGAAATATACCAGAGGAGAGAGAGAGATTGAGAATTTTAGTGAGAGGTGGAGAAAGAGAAGAAGACAGAGTACGGATGAGATGCGATGGAATTGGATCTAGGGAGCAGGTGGTGGGGCGGGAGGACTGGAGTAGAGCAGAAACTTCTTCTAATGTAGCGGGTGCAAATGAACATAGAACAGCAGAGGGAGTGAAGTTAGGGGAAGTATTTTAAGGGGAAGAAGAAAGATGAGATATCTCTTCTCTGATTGTAGAGATCTTGTCAATGAAGTGAGTTGCAAAGTCTGAGGCAGTCAAGTTAGTAGGTGGAGGAGGAACAGCAGGGCGAAGAAGAGAGTTAAATGTGTGAAATAGTCGTTTGGGTTCGTGGGAGAGTGTGGTTATGAGGGTATTGAAGTAATTAACTTTTGCAGAGGAAAGAGCCAAGCTGTATGAGCTCAGCATAGATTTATAGTGGAGAAAGTCAGATGCACAGTGAGACTTTCTCCAACAGCGTTCAGCAGTTCTAGAGCATTTTTGGAGGTATCGAGTGAGCTTGGTGTGCCAGGGTTGTTGTTGGGGGGGCCTGCGGCGTTTAAATGTACAAGGTGCCATATGTCTAGTTGAGAAGAGAGGGTGGAATTGTAGAAGGAGGTTGCAGAACTAGGACAGGTGAGGTTTGAGATAGGTAAAAGGAGAGTTTGGAGATTAGTGGAGAAATGCTTTAGGTCAAGACTTTGGAGGTTTCTGTGAGAGTGATGTTCAGACGGTGGTGTCAATTGGGTATGCCAATGTCAAAAGTCAGCAGATAGTGGTCAGACATAGGAAAAGGAATATTGGAGAGATTAGAGGCAGTACAGAGAAACATAGAAACATAGAATGTGACGGCAGATAAGAACCATTCGGCCCATCTAGTCTGCCCAATTTTCTAAATGCTTTCATTAGTCCCTAGCTTTATCTTATAGTTAGGATAGCCTTATGCCTATCCCACGCATGCTTAAACTCCTTTACTGTGTTAATCTCTACCACTTCAGCTGGAAGGCTATTCCATGCATCCACTACCCTCTCAGTAAAGTAATACTTCCTGATATTATTTTTAAACCTTTGTCCCTCTAATTTAAGACTATGTCCTCTTGTTGTGGTAGTTTTTCTTCTTTTAAATATAGTCTCCTCCTTTTACTGTGTTGATTCCCTTTATGTATTTAAATGTTTCTATCATATCCCCCCTGTCTCGCCTTTCCTCCAAGCTATACATGTTAAGATCCTTTAACCTTTCCTGGTAAGTTTTATCCCGCAATCCATGAACCAGTTTAGTAGCCCTTCTCTGAACCCTCTCTAAGGTATCAATATCCTTCTGAAGATACGGTCTCCAGTACTGTGTACAATACCCCAAGTGAGGTCTCACCAGTGTTCTGTACAATGGCATGAGCACTTCCCTCTTTCTACTGCTAATTCCTCTCCCTATACAACCAAGCATTCTGCTAGCATTTCCTGCTGCTCTATTACATTGTCTGCCTACCTTTAAGTCATCAGAAATAATCACCCCTAAATCCCTTCCCTCATATGTTGAGGTTAGAACTCTATCAAATATTCTGTACTCTGCCCTTGGGTTTTTACGTCCAAGATGCATTATCTTGCACTTATCCACATTAAATGTCAGTTGCCACAATTCTGGCCATTTTTCTAGTTTACCTAAATCATTTGTCATTTGGTTTATCCCTCCTGGAACATCAACCCTGTTACATATCTTAGTATCATCAGCAAAAAGACATACCTTACCATCAAGACCTTCTGCAATATCACTAATAAAAATATTAAAGAGAATGGGTCCAAGTACAGATCCCTGAGGTACCCCACTGTTGACAAGTCCAAGCTTCAATATATTCCATTAACTACAACCCTCTGTTGCCTGTCACTCAGCCACTGCCTTACCCATTCAACAATATTGAAATCCAAACTTAAAGATTGCAGTTTATTGATAAGCCTTCTATGTGCAACAGTGTCAAAAGCCTTACTGAAATCTAGGTAAGCAATGCCTACTGCACCACCCTGATCTATAATTTTAGTTACCCAATCAAAAAATCAATAAGATTAGTTTGGCATGATCTCCCTGAAGTAAACCCATGTTGTCTCTGATATTGAAATCCATGTGTTTTTAGATGTTCATCAATCCTATCCTTTAACATGGTTTCCATCACTTTCCCACTACTGAAGTAAGGCTTACTGGCCTATAGTTGCCCGACTCCTCCCTATTACCTTTCTTGTAAATGGGCACAACATTCGCTAACTTCCAATCTTCTGGGACTACTCCTGTTAACAATGATTGGTTAAATAAATCTGTTAATGGTTTTGCTAGTACACCACCAAGCTCTTTTAATAGCTTTGGGTGTATTCCATCAGGTCCCATTGACTTATTTGTCTTTACTTTTGACAGTTGAAATAGAACCTCTTCCTCTGCAAACTCACGTGTAATAAATGACTCATTTATCCTTTTTCTCAACTGAGGTCCCTTTCCTTAATTTTCATCTGTAAATACAGAACAAAAATATTCATTGAGGCAGTCAGCTAGACCTTTATCCTCTTCTACATACCTTCCTTCTTTTGTTTTTAATCTAACTAATCCTTGTTTTACTTTTCTTTTCTCATTTATGTATCTAAAAATGTTTTATCCCCCTTTTTTACTGACTGTGCTATTTTCTCTTCTGTGTGTGATTTGGAAGCTCTTATAACTTGTTTAGCCTCTTTCTGCCTAATCTTATAGATCATTTTGTCTTCCTCACTCTGGTTTTTTTTATAATTCCTAAATGCTAACTTTTTGTTTTTAACTATTTTGGCCACATCTGTGGAGTACCACAGTGGTTTCTTGAATTTTTTGCCTTGACTGACAAGCCTAATGCAATTTTCTGTTGCCTTCAATAGTGCAACTTTTAAATAATCCCATTTCTCTTGGACTCCATTTAAATTGCTCCAGTCTGATAATGACTCTTCTACCCATATTCTAATTTTAGAAAAGTCTGCTTTTCTAAAGTCTAAAACTTTTGTTTTTGTGTGGTGTGACTCAGTCACTGTTCTTATATTAAACCACACTGACTGATGATCACTGGATCCTAAACTTTCACCTACAGTAATATCTGATACTAAATCTCCATCTGTTAACACTAAATCTAGTATGGCCTCTTTACGAGTTCTCTCCTCAACAACTTTGTTTTAGAGACAATCCCAGTAGGGAGTTTAGAATATGTGTGCTCCTGGCACAAGCAGCTATTTTAGTTTTCCAATTCACATCAGGAAGATTAAAGTCACCCATGATGATAACTTCCCCCTTCATTGTCATTTTAGCTATTTCCTCAACTGGTAGATTATCTAACTCTTCAATTTGTCCTGGGGGCCTATAAATCATACCTACACGAGTTACTGTGTGATTACCAAATTCTAACGTAGCCCAAACGGACTCTATGTTTGCCTCACTAACTTTTATTAGGCTAGATTTTATGCTATCCTTCACATACAAAGCCACCCCTCCCCTTTCTTGCCTTCCCTATCTTTCCTATATAAAGAGTACCCTGGTATTGCTATGTCCCAGTCATTTTTCTCATTATACCATGTCTCAGTAACAGCGACTAAATCTACACTATCAGTTGCCATTATTGCCACAAGTTCATGGATCTTATTCCCTAAACTGCGAGCATTTGTAGACATGACTCTAAGCTTATCATTTTTTTAACACACTTGCTACAGGCACCTTCTGTCCTTGTTTTGGGGGACAATTGGATTGATGTTTTATCACCCTTTTGCCCCCCCTCCTAGTTTAAATACATCCTAGCAAAACCTCTGAACTGCTCACTGAGAACATTTGTTCCCTTTTGAGAAAGATGCAAGCCATCTTTTTTGTACAGTTTATTTCCATTCCAAACAGAGCTACCATGAGAAATAAAGCCAAATCCTTGCTCCCGACACCATTCACCAAGCCACAAATTAAAGTCCCTAATACGCATCCGCCTGTCGTTCTGGGTGTTATGCACAGGCAGAACTTCAGAGAATGACCGTGTGGAAGCAACCTGCCGTATATCATTGGCAAAAACACTAAAAACTTCCTTAACCTCTGAAACCTCATTGCAAGCCAAGTCATTTGTCCCTAGATGGACAAGTACATCCAATTCCCCTTCCTGCTTTGCTCGCATAACAATATTACCGATACATCTGTAATATTGTTAAGCAAGCAAAGCAGGAAGGGAAATTGGATGTACTTGTCCAGAGGTTGATGAAGACAAGATCAAGAATGTTTCCTGCTGTATGGGTTGCTAAATTGGACCATTGCGTAAGGCCAAAGGAGGAGGTTACAGAGAGCAGACGAGAGGCATCAGTGCAATTGGGGTTATTGATTGGGATACTGAAATCCCCAAGTATAAGGGAAGGAGTGCTGGATGAGAGGAAGTGTGGGGGTGGGGGTGTGGGGGGCGGTAGATGATAGCAATTCTTAAAGGAGTGGGTTTAAATAGGTGGACAGTGTGAACTTCGAAAGAAGAAAAGGATAGGGCAGGGGGAGTTATGATTGGTTGATAGGTACATTGAGGGGAGAGGAGGATGCCTACGCCGCCTCCTTTACAGTTAAGTCTGGGAGTGTGAGAGAATTGTAGCCCACCAAAACATAAAGAGGCAGGAGTAGCGCCATCAGAGGGGGACAGCCAGGTCTCTGTAAGTGCAAGCAGTGTGAGTGAGTTTGAGATGAAAAAGTCGTGTATGGTTGTTGATTTTAAATTACTGCAGATGGAGCGGGCATTCCAGAGTGCACAATTAATTTTGGTAAGTGAGGGTAAAGGGCAGGGTATTGTGATGAGGTTTGTGGGGTTTCTGGTTGTCTTAGTGTGTGTAGAGAAGGTGAAGGGCCCTGGATTGGGAGAGACATCACCAGCTGCTAGAAGTAGGAGGAGAGAAAGTGACAGGAGGTGTGAATGGGTTTTGTATGCATGGGGTCTAGGATGACATCGATTGTGGGTTGGAGTGAGAGAGTAGAAAAATGAGTGTAAGGAATGAGATGAGAAAAGGGGGGAGTGTAGCAGAGAGGGGTATATGTAAATGTGGATGGGGGGATGAGTGAAGTGGGTGTAAGGAGAGATTTTTATACTGAGGGAGACTGAGGAAATAAAGAGGAGGAGAAAACAGATCATTGCTAAACTGTGAAAAATAAAAATTGGAGATAATTGGAATATCAAGAGCAGGTGAAGGTGTTTTATGGGTTAACAAAGTGCAGGAGTGTACTAATAAGAGGCAGGTTTTTTTAACCTAACTAAAATGTAGGTGTGACAGACAATCTATAAATGTAATAATGAGCGTGGTTAGGGTGGGCATCAGGCTTGCTCACTGAAGAAATGAGCTTGTAAAGTTGGGGAATCAGGCTTTGCAGACGATCAGGCTTGCTCACTGAAGAAATGAGCTTGTAAAGTTGGGGAATCAGGCTTTGCAGACGATCAGGCTTGCTCAATGAAGGAATGGGCTTGCAAAGTTGGGGAATCAGGCTTTGCAGACGATCAGCCTTTTCACTGAAGGAATGGGCTTTCAAAGTTGGGGAATCAGGCTTTGCAGACGATCAGGCTTGCTCACTGAAGGAATGGGCTTGCAAAGTTGGGGAATCAGGCTTTGCAGACGATCAGGCTTGCTCACTGAAGAAATGAGCTTGTAAAGTTGGGGAATCAGGCTTTGCAGACGATCAGGCTTGCTCAATGAAGGAATGGGCTTGCAAAGTTGGGGAATCAGGCTTTGCAGACGATCAGCCTTTTCACTGAAGGAATGGGCTTTCAAAGTTGGGGAATCAGGCTTTGCAGACGATCAGGCTTGCTCACTGCCTCACTGTCAGTGTTGTTATTTATTATCCCTGTGTATTGTTATGTATTGTCAGTGTGAGTGCTAGTTATTGTCAGTGTTGCTATTTATTGTTCCTGTGTATTTTTATTTATTGTCAGTGTGAGTGCTTGTTATTGTCAGTGTTGCTATTTATTGCCACTGTATACTATTATTATTTTATTATTTATATAGCGCCATCAGATTCCGTAGTGCTGTACAAAGGGTATATTTGCTATGCATTGTCAGGGTTGCTATTGATCATCACTCTGTGTACTATTTATTGTAACTGCGTATTGCTATTTATCGTCAGGGTGTGTGCTGTTTATTGTCACTGTTTATTGCTTCTTTCTGTCACTGTGTGTTTCTGTTTATTGTCTCTGTATATTACTATTTATTACAAGTTTCTATTGGTATTTACAGTCACTGCGTGTTGCTATTTATTGTCATGGACTATTGCAATTCATCACGATGTGTTTTATTTATTTTTACTGAGTGTGCAATTTATTGCCACTGTGCATTGAAATTTATTGTCAATGTGTATTGTTACTTATTGTCACTGAGTAGCTATTTACTGTAACTGTGTTTTTTCATATTTGTATGTGATTGAGTATTCTAGTAAAGGGGGATACAGGATAAAGACGGAGGGTGGGAGGGTAAATATAATACATACTACAAAGTACCGTATATACTCGAGTATAAGCCGACCCGAATATAAGCCGAGGCCCCTAATTTTACCCCAAAAAACTGGGAAAACGTATTGACTCGAGTATAAGACTAGGGTGGGAAATGCAGCAGCTACTGGTAAATTTCTAAATAAAATTAGATCCTAAAAAAATTATATTAATTGAATATTTATTTACAGTGTGTGTTTATGATGAATGCAATGTGTGTGTATGAATGCAGTGTGTGTATGAGTGCAGTGTGTGTGTATGAGTGCAGTGTGTGTATGAATGCAGTGTGTGTATGAGTGTGCAGTGTGTGTGTATGAATGCAGTGTGTGTGTATGAGTGCAGTGTGTGTGTATGAGTGCAGTGTGTGTATGAGTGCAGTGTGTGTATGAGTGCAGTGTGTGTGTATGAGTGCAGTGTGTGTGTATGAGTGCAGTGTGTGTATGAGTGCAGTGTGTGTGTATGAGTGCAGTGTGTGTGTGATGCAGTGTGTGTTTGTGTTGCAGAGCCTTGGTGGGGGGGTGGGCATTTTTATAAAAAAAAAATATTATTTTAATTTTTTTGTTATATTATTATTTTTTTAATTATTATTATTTTTATTATTATTTATATATTATTAATTTTATTTATTTTGTTGTCCCCCCTCCCTGCTTGATACATGGCAGGGAGGGGGTCTCTCCTTCCCTGGTGGTCCAGTGGCATTGGCAGTTCAGTGGGGGGAGGAGGGGGGCTGGCAGAGCTGTTACTTACCTCTCCTGCAGCTCCTGTCAGCTCTCTCCTCCTCCGCGCCGTTCCGTGCAGCTCTTCTCTCAGCTCACACTGTAAGTCTCGCGAGAGCCGCACTATGACCCCGCGGCTCTCGCGAGACTTACACTGGGAGCTGACCGAGGTGCTGACCGGGCCGGCGCGGAGGAGGAGGGAGCTGACAGGAGCTGCAGGAGAGGTAAGTAACAGCTCTGCCAGCCCCCAGTCTGTATTATGGCAATGTAAATTAATGTAAGTTGCCATAATACAGACTGACTCGAGTATAAGCCGAGTTGGGGTTTTTCAGCACAAAAAATGTGCTGAAAAACTCGGCTTATACTCGAGTATATACGGTACATGGTAAATGGTAATACATTTTTTTTTATAAAATATATTATCAGGAAGGATACATTGAGATTTCTCTCGTTTTCAAGTATGTCCAGGGTCCACAATACATTGTATTGTTACAATAGGGTACAATAAAATACAAAATACAATATACAGACAATATATATGAATGTAACACATAATAGGTAATAAATATATTCCACCATGACAGGTGCATTCTGTGTTGAGGTATATTGCCGTACATCTTAGGATTTTAGATTGAATGAAGATTTGACTGTGTCCCTGAGGTTATTCCATAATTGTGGTGCTCTGTAGGTAAAGGAGGATCGATCCACTTTATTTTTGTATTGCGGTATGCTAAATATCGTGCTGGTACTGGATTGGAGGTTATAGGAGGTGGGAACAGCCGGAGAGAGCATTCTACTCAGGTAGGGTGGGAGCTTCCTTGAAATGCTCTTATGCACAAGGCTGGAAAGATGAAGAATGTGTCGGGATTCCAGCAACAGCCAGTTTAGCTCTTTTAACATGTCACAGTGGTGGGTAAAGTAATTACATTCTAGTACCAAACTGCAGAATGAATTATATAATGTATTGAGAGCCAAAAATGGGTCGCAAGAGAATACTGAGAACGGGCAGCAGCTGAAATAGCCTGCCCTTCGGTCGGTCCCCGCTCAGTTCTCAAGCTGATTTTTGCTCATCTTGTGCCATTACAGAGAGAACATCTCTGAAACATATCAGACTAGTCCCACCCATACGGGCAGTCCAGATCCGAAATGCCAGCAAGTTCCCTCTGCACGAGAGACATAGCAACATCAGACGATCGTTTCAGCCTTGTTAGGCATCATCAGTGAGGCATAGCTGATATCTCCCTAGGCACCGTGAGCAAGGGGTCCACGTCTGGATTATCCCTTTAAACTTGTGGAGAGTCAAAAATGGGTCGCAAGAGAATACTGAGAAGGGATAATCCAGACGTGGACCCCTTGCTCACGGTGCCTAGAGCGATATCAGCTATGCCTCACTGATGATGCCTAACAAGGCTGAAACGATCGTCTGGGGTTGCTGTATCTCTCGTGCAGAGAGAACTTGCTGGCATTTTGGATCTGGACTGCCCGTATGGGTGGGACCAGTCTGATATGCTTCAGATATGTTCTCTCTGTAATGGCACAAGATGAGCAAAAACCAGCTTGAGTTCTGAGCAGGGAACCACCGAAGGGCAGGCTATTTCAGCTGCTGCCCGTTCTCAGTATACTCTTGCGACCCATTTTTTTGCTCTCCATATAATGTATTGAGTTTATTAAGGTGGGTTTGAGGTGCGGGTGCATACACTACATCCCCATAATTGTAGATTATACTAGCTTTAGTGTAACTATAATCTTAATTTTATTAATGACAGGAGGCGAATATTTGCTTAAGTCTCTCTTTACTTGAACTCCACAGCAGCACATTAACATAGAGAGATAAACACCAAAGACAAAAACATAAGGTATCTATATAAGGCTCCTCCTAAGCCACCATTTCCTCTTTCACGCTGCGACAACATAACGTACACAATAATGCCAATAAACTAATTAAAGGAAAAATATAACACAACAATGAATGTCATCTGGAAACAACTTCGGATAACGGATGTGATCTTGATCTTCATCCTGTCCAACAGCCGATTCTAGGAACTGAAGTTGAACCATTAAACTGAAACGAAATAAACGAAAACACTGATTAGTGAACGAAATGTACTGATAAAACATAAATCCCACGATCCAGTGCTGATAGAATAAAAGATATGAAATCCATCATTAATTACCGGCAATACAATATAACAGACACCTCCCCCAACTTCCCCAAACATCACCCCAGACTACCAGACCTAGCCCAGGTGACCAGACAATTCAACAGAAATACAATCAATGCAATCCATCCAAACAAGGGGGGGAGAAACGAAAGACTGGGTGGGAAATATTCGCCTCCTGTCATTAATAAAATTAAGATTATAGTTACACTAAAGCTAGTATAATCTACAATTTTATAGCATGACAGGAGGCATCATATTTGCTGTTTTAACGCTCTGACAGCAAAGCAAAAGAAGCATGGTCTGACGGTCTAAAGTAGAATTGGCGAAAAGTCTCTTCACGGGACGAGTCCGCCGAACGCAAAATGTCCTGAAGGGAAGCGCCCGCCATAAAGGCTCCGGAAGCTGCGGCGCCCCTAACTGAATGCGCTCCGAAAGTCGCATTCACGCCCGCCAGAGCCAAAAGCCATCTTATCCATCGAGCCAGGGTAGGGGACGAGACTGGCTTGTGGGGTGTGACATACGAAATCAACAACTGTCCAGAATGAGAAGAGCGCAAAGGAGCGGTAACCGCAACATAACGAGCCAGTGCCTTCGCTACACAAAGCTTAGGCGAATCTTTGAAGTAAGGGTATGATACAACCGTCGAGTCCGACTTGGTACGTCTAACCACCTTGAAGGAGACCCCCTCTGGAGAAAACGAGAAAGCGTCGACATCGAAGGCCCGGACATCCGAAACACGTCTGAACGAGACCAGACACAACAAGAGGGCAAATTTTGCCGAAAGCTGGCGAGGAGAAAGGTCCTGGTTATCAGGCCAATCCCGAAGGAACGCCAAAACCAAACGTACGTCCCAGAGGGAAGAGTACTTGGGCGCCGGAGGGCGCGCCAGCCTCATTCCACGCAGGAGTCTGCAGACTAGCGGATCCTGGCCGATGGGAAAACCTCTAAGCGGGACATGTGCCGCCGAGATAGCTGACCTAGCCACGTTAACCGAGCGGTATGACCGACCCAGGTCAAAGAGGTGAGACAAGAAATTCAGCACGCTAGATACAGGACCTGTAAAGGGATCGGTATCCCTTCCAAACACCAGCGACACCAGGAACCCCATGCTGAGAGATAGCACCTCCTCGTCCCGGGAGCCCAGGAATCCCAGAGAAGGTCTCTAGCTGATTGTGATAACGCCTCGACATTCCAGGCACCCCTGAAAGAGTCCAGGCCACCAGGAGCAGGTGGCCGTCTCCCACTAGGGGATGAGGGTTGCCCCGGGAGTCCGAGAGGAGCATTCGAGAGGATGGTAAGAAAAGAGGATCCCGACAGGAGAGATCCAGGAGCTCCGGAAACCAGGCTTGACTCTGCCATAGCGGAGTCAGCAACACCAAGGACACACGCTGCCGTCGAATTTGTAGCAATACTCTGGGAATCATAGCGAATGGAGGAAACGCATACGCTCCCTGCGAAGGCCACACCTGGAGAAAAGCGTCCACCGCCGTGCACTCCGGATCCGGGAGCCAACTGAGGTCTGGTGATTCATCCTGGAGGCGAATAGATCCAAGGTGAACGGGCCCCTCTGATACTCGTGTTCGAAGAAGATGGGTCGCAGGAGTTTCCAGTTGCTGGCATCCCTCCAATGTCTGGAGAACCAGTCTGCCGTCAGATTCGACTCCCTCGGAAGATATTCCGCTTGTAAGGTGATGTTGCGTTGGAAACAGAAACTGCAAATCTCCTTCGTCACCTCCGATAGTGTTCGAGACCGAACGCCCCCCAAGCGGTTGATGTACTGCACCGCTGAGACATTGTCCATCCGAAGGAGGACGCAGCAGTCCGACAGGTGGTTCGCCAGGCTCCGAATCGCAAATGAACCCGCAATCAATTCCAGGCAATTGATGTGAAATTCCGATTCCTTGTCCGACCACGGGCCCCCCGTGGACCCCGTCGCCTACGTGGCACCCCAACCCCACAGACCCGCATCTGATTCCAGCACAAAATCCGGGGTTGGTCTGAATATCCCTTGCCGTTCCAGGCGGACATAAGCAGGAGCCACCAGCGCAGTTCAGTCTTCACGTCCGGAGACAGGGAGATCATCTGATCGTAATATGGTCTCCTGCACAGAAAATGAGCCTTCAGCCGTTGCAGGGCCCTGTAATGCAGTGGGCCCGGGTAAATCGCCTGTATCGAGGCCGAGAGGAGACCCACCACGCGAGCCAACATCCGAAGGGGAATCCGGTCTTGCCGTAAGATCCGTCTTATCTCCTTCCGAATGGTCACTATCTTTGCCAAGGGCAGACGAAGAACGCATTCTATCGCATCGACCTCGAAACCCAAGAATTCCACCTTCTGGGAAGGTTCCAACGCCGATTTTTTTAAATTGACCACGAACCCCAGGTGTTCCAACAAGGAGATCGCAGAGCGTGTCTGATATTTGAGCCTGGAGGGGTCCTCGCAAAAGATCAGCAAGTCGTCCAGATATATTATGCAGCGGACACCCTCCGACCTGAATTGGGCGACCACCGGAGCTTGGTGAAGCACCAAGGAGCCGAGCTGAGGCCGAAGGGGAGGCATGTAAATTGGCATGGAATGCCCTTCCATAGGAAGCAAAGGAATCTGCGACAGTCTTCGTCCACCGGGACGGAGAGGTAGGCATCCTTCAGGTCCAGTCTCGTGAACCAGTCTCCCGGCCGGAGAAGGTCCCGCAGAAGATGAATGCCCTCCATCTTGAAGTGGTTGTAGACCACAAAGGTGTTCAATTCTCGTAAATTGATCATTGGGCGGAACTCCCCGGACTTTTTCTTCACTAGGAAAAATCGAGCTGAAGAAACCCCCAAAATCCGGGGCTCTTTGAACAGCGCCTTTGGCGAACAGTGCCCGAACTTCAGTATCTATCAAGGACTGTTGTTTTCTTGCGATGATGGGGACCCTTGGGGGTCCAAGCTGTATTGGAGGGGAATGGAAATCTATGACCCCGTACCGTCTGAAGGACCCATACATCTGAAGACACCTCCCGCCACCTGTCTCTGCAATGAAACAGTCTGCCCGCATGCAAAGTAGGGTGAACGAAAGTGGTAGGAGGTACACTCACCTGCAGGAAATATCGCCCGTCCTCTGGCGCGGTATCCGCGACCTCTATCCGCCCTCTGAGCGTAGGGGGTTCTGGAGTGGTATGACGGAAAGAAGGACGGACCACGGGATCTGTGGCGGCCCGAGGACCAGCTGCGGCTGGAGACACGACCCTGCTATCGTCCAGCCCGTCCAAAAACCCGGGATGATTGCGGCCGAAAAACCTTCTTAATGGAAGATTGAGCTTTATCCAGGGAGGTAAACAGGTTGACGTGCTTCTGTAGCTCCTTAATGAAGGGTTCCCTGAACAATAGGCCCTTAGCCATGGGGCCCAATTCTTTGGAGCCCAGTTCCGATAGTTTGTTGTCCATACGGAACAGAGCTGTCTTCCTGCGCTCAGTGCAGAGGGCCACATTGGCATTGCCTAGCAGGCAAATGGAACGTAGTGCCCAGTCCCGCATGGTGGCCGGATCCAGGTTCGTACCTTCTGTGTAGGCCTCGTCTGCTAAGGCCGCAGGAGTCTGCAGACCCCCTGCATAGGGGTCCCAGCACGTCTAGCTGCTTATCTTGTGCTGACCGGAGGCTACGCTCCACCCCCTTCTTGGGGTCCCGACCCGAAACGGGTCAAATACGTGGCCACCAAGGGGTCAAACTCCAGGGTCGCTGCCACCTTGTCCAGCAGGACGGGTCTGGGGCATTCCGCCCTCAGTTTCTTGCGGGCCTCCCCTTCAAGGGGTCTGCGGACCCAGTAGTGCACGAACTGTGCCAAGTGGTTGGGCAACGACCATTCTGAGGACCTGGGGTGTCGGATAGACCGAGGGTCAAACAGGGGTTCTCCCGTAGCATCCAAAATCATGCAAATTTAGTAACATGCACTGAAGAAAAAAACTGCAGGCAGGAGTAGAGAACCCCAAACCTGCCCATAGGAACCTAGAAAAACCTGTAGGAATTACCCCCCAAACAGAGGGGGCTGAACAGAAGCCCAACATAAAATAAAAATAAATTGGGCACTGCGCCCTTAAGGAATAAAGGTGCGTGCGGCAGAGACTGAACAGAGAGCCGCTCACCCCCGTGGCCGCGGGGGGGGGAAGGGCGCTCAGAAGCGGAGGCACTCGCGGCAATAACCCAACACCCTGCTCCGTCCCCACGCAGCTCGGGAAACAGCAACAAGCGACGCGGGCAGGGCAGGAAGGCAAGGATAGGATTCCCGCTCGGCGGACGAAGCCGGCGGGCGGGAATCAGTACCAGAAACACGTGGGACCGCCGGAGTCTTAGGGAAGAGAAAGGAAAAAAAGGGGACACAAGTAACAGATAAGTAAGGCAATGCCCAAACACAAGGATAAACACAGCAATAAGAAACAGAAACACTGATAATCCAAGGCAAGAAAACATAAGAAAATGACCAAATATAAACAATAATAATAGACACACAGCCACCCATAGAAAACAGGAGGCAGTGGTACTCTGACCTGTACTGTCTGCGGAGCAGCAAAGAAAGAGGAAATGGTGGCTTAGGAGGAGCCTTATATAGATACCTTATGTTTTTGTCTTTGGTGTTTATCTCTCTATGTTAATGTGCTGCTTTTGAGTTCTAGTAAAGAGAGACTTAAGCAAATATGAAGCCTCCTGTCATGCTATAAAATTAATGACCAGCATTAGCATTTGTTGCACTATTTGTTTTCTTAGGCAAGATTTGTTTCTGTACCTAATTTTGGGTAATGTTTTGAAGAGAATTTTTCAATGTGAAGGCCAAAGGAAAGATTGGGGTCTAGCAACATACCTAGATATTTTGAAGAGCAGACTGCTGTCAGTGTGCTATTTGCATTTGTTCTGATACACAATTGTTGATTTTGTAGTTTACATAACTTAGGTACAGTTCCAAACATCAATGCTACTGCTTTGTCAGTGTTTAGAAGGAGTTTGTTAACCACTATCCACTTTTCTACCTCTGTGATTCGGTTTTGGAGCACAGCCTCAAGCTGTGGTAGATAGATGAACACTATCCTAGCAACCTACTTTTCTACCCAACCCTTATCTTTTATGTCACATTACCCAATTCCCTCTAGCATGTAAGCTCATTGAGCAGGGCCCTCAATCCCTCTGTTTTTGTGAGTCCAACTCGTCTGTTTACAATAACTTGTCTGTTAGTCCAACCATTGTACAGCACTACGGAACTTGTTGGCACTTTGTAAATAATAATTGGGTTTACTAGTGTAGATTACAGTGTCATCTGCAAACATGTGTACAGTTGAGGATTTTCAGACGTTAGGCAGATCATTTATAAATAATGTGAATAGCAGGGGGCCGAGTATGGAGCTTTAGGGAACACCACACGTGACTGGAAGAGGGAGGCCACATATTGCAATCGGTCTGAAACATATGATCGAAAGCAGTTTAGTGGATGATCACCAATGCCTGAGTTTTTAAGTTTTTGCTAAAGAATGCCATGGTCTACTGTGAAAGGCCTTGGCGAAATCAAGGAAAATAGCTCCAGTTAATTCTCCTTGTCCCATGCCAATTTGGATGTCATTGCAAACTTTTAAGAGGGAAGTCGAAGTTGAGTGAGTTGTACGAAAACCTTGATCAGGGGTCAGATAGTTAGATTGTTGATAACATTCACATAGTTGCATGTGGACGCATTTTTCCAAGAATTTTGACAATACCGGGAGCAATGATATCGGGCAATAGTTAGATACCAATTTGATGAATAGGTACAACTTTTGCAGTCTTCCAATGTTTGAGTATGTATCCTGACACCAGGGATTCAATTATAAGTTTAGTGACAGGTTTAGCAATTGCTGGCGCACTGAGCTTCAGCAACATTGCTGGTATTTGATCTGGTCCATACTGGTTTTTCGTTTTTACATTTTTAAGATGTTTATTAACGACAATAAGAGGCACAGGTGTAAAATTGAATTTCTCTAAATGAGGATTTTGAAGATTTGGCAGGGCCTGATCTTTATTTGCGGTCTGAAAATGAGTGTCATTCGTTATCTTAGCAACCAGGTTGGTAGCACATCCAACAAAGTAATTATTAAAGGCACTTGCTACATCTAGTGTTTCAGTGTTTGGTTGTCCATTTTGACACTGGAGGGTTGGGAGTAGAGTGTGGGGGTTTTTATGATTTTCCAAAAGTTTATTGGGTTTGATATGCAATTGTTCAAATTTTCACTGAGATATTGGTCCATTTTTGTTTGTTTTGTGCATGCATTTCGCCATTGTCTATAGGCACAGTGATCGTTCGTGGAGCCAGTACGCTTGAACTTTGACCACAGTGAATCTCTAAACTGGTACATTTGAATGAGGGCAGCTGTAACCCAGGGCAGGTGTGTCCCTTTAATGCGCACATTAAGCAGAGGGTCATGCAAATTCCAAACATGCAAGAGCTTGGACTGAAGAGATAAGTCTTTGCCATGGTATGTTCTTGAGATCGTTTAAAAAGGATTGAAGATTAAATTTCTTGAAACCTGGTGATTATAATTTGTTGTACAGTTGTTTGGTTTGTTGCACGAGAATCATAGCTTACCCTTCACAATATAATGACCATCTGCAATTTTATCTACATTAAACATAGGATTTGGTGTCTACTTGTAACCTGCTTTTGGTTTTTCATACCATTATATGTATTATATAATATGGTACCTTAGGTCTGTGACTTTTGGTGGACATATGGTACAATAGGGGTCCCATCTGCAATACTCTCTCCCTCCCAATGTTCTCTAATGAGGTCCAACGGTCCCCGTACCCTTCTCCCAAACAACAGCTCAAACGGGGAGAAGCCGGTAGATTCTTGGGGTACCTCCCTATACGCAAACAGATGGGGAAGAAACCGTTCCCAGTCCTTATGGGTCTCTCCGAATGTACGGAGCATCTGTTTTAGGGTACCGTTGAACCTCTCACATAATCCGTTGGATTGGGGATGGTAAGCAGAGTTAACAATTGACTTAATGCCACAGACTCCATAACTGCGTAGTCCACCACGGTTAGTATATACCGCTTCCCACAGGGGCTGGGTTTGGGTAGCGGTCCCACTATGTCTACGGCCACACAGCTGAAAGGTTCCTCAATAATAGGCAGGGGACACAGTTTCGCTTTGTGGCGATCCCCTCTCTTACCTACCCGCTGACACACATCACAGGAGGTACAGTAGTGCCTCGCATCTTTAGAAATCCCTGGCCAGAAGAAAGCGTGGGTTAAGCGGTAACGGGTACGGGTCATCCCTAAATGGCCAGACAGCGGGATGTCATGAGCTATTCTCAGTAACTCGGGTCGATATTTCTGGGGCACAACCAGCTGTTTGGTTTGAACTGTTACAGAGCTCCCTATCGCCCTTTCAGCTATCCGGTACAATAATTTGTTTTCCCAAATGTACCGCTCCCCCTCCCGCCCTACCTGGTCAGTGTCTACCCTATCCCTGTACACCTGCAGTGTGGGGTCTGTCTGGACCTCGGCTTCAAAGGTGGTCGGGGTGTCCCAGGTCATATGAGTCGAGGGGGGGTCATGGTCTCTTACCTGAGCCTCAGAGTGTGCTGGTGGAACCGTGGTTGCCGAGTAGTTACGGGATGAGCTTCTTGCGAAGGGACCTGAGGTACAAAGGCCGAAGTCATCTGGCAGAAGTCATTACCCAATACGACATCTGCCGGTAACTTCATCATAGCCACTTCCACAACCCCCTCCCCAGCACCCCAGTTCAAATGCACCTTTGCAGTGCGTAGACGGTACATGGCTCCCCCTGCCACCCTGACTGCTACTGATCCGCCAGTCTGTGCTGTATCCGGGACCAAATGTGGAGCGACCAGGGTTAAAGTGGCTCCCGAGTCCCTCAGCCCCTGTACTTCTTTCCCCCCCACAAACACAACTTGACGGTGATGCTGCCTGTTGTCAAAACATCACCTCATACAAAACACCCAGAGGTTCCACGGTCTGCAGGCTCATCAGCTCTTGGGTGTCCGGTTCTGCTTGATAGTGATGTGCTGCTGCCCTTGGGGTGGAATTCTGCCACACTTGGTTCCACGCCTGTCTACTCCGATTCTGGATGCACTCCCGGGACATATGCCCCCACTGACGGCAGGTATGGCATTGGATGTTTGCCCTGCCATTGTGGCGGGACGGTGGTGGGGGGTTCTCTTGTGCTGGCCGGAACGGAGTGGAGTTGACTGGTGCAGAGGTGGTTGGGTGGTGCTGTACAGGTGGTCTCAGGGGACCCTTGTTGTTGTGCCCATGATGTCTCCTGGCATCAAAGTGCTGATCTGCCAACCGGGCTGCTTCGGTTAGGGTGAGGGGTTTTCGGTCTCTTACCCATTCTTGTGCCTTTGGTAAGAGTCCGTTAAAGAACTGCTCCAGTAGGATTAGTTGGCGCAGTTCTTCCATGGTGTTGGCTTGGCTTGCCTGAATCCACCCTTGAGAAGCTTGGTCTAACTTATGTGCCCACTCAGCGTGCGAATCTTTTTCGGGCTTTCGCATTCCTCGAAATTTGTGCCGATATGCCTCTGGTGTGATGGCATATCTCTCTAGGATTGCCCGTTTGACTTTAAAATAGTCCTTACTGTCCTCTCTGTGGCCAGGCGATAGGCCTCTGCTGCCCGCCCTGCCAACTTTCCTGCTAGCAGGGGCACCCACACTGCCTGCTCCAGGTCGTGCAGGTCACACAGCCGCTCGAAATCCTGCAGATACCCGTCAATTTCATCCTTCTCCTCGCAGAATGCTTTAAACGCCTGGTACGGTATCTTCTGTTTTACCGGAGCGCAGAAGGAAGTAGCGATGGATTCTGCCCTGGATGGTGCCCCCTGGTGCTGTTGTGCCATAATGTACTCCTGTACGTCTGCCATCAGGACTGTCAAGATGTCCAGTGGTACTGGCTGAGGTACAAATTCCAGCCGGGTTCTCAGTTCCCTCTGATATGGGGTTTCCTCCCTGGCTGGTGGGGGTGTGCTGCTATGTGCTCGGTCGCCCTCCATTAGTTCTGCAATTAGTACTGCCTTGGATTTATTGCTAGCGCTTTTCCCTCTAGCCTCCAGCAGTTCCTTTAGCGTCTGCCTTTTCAAAGTCGTGTAATCAGTCTCCATTCACTGATCTCTTTCGTCTGTTTGCTGCATACGAATTGCCATTCACTTTTTCCGTTCGGTTGTTTCTTTTATTCGAATTCGCTGTTTCAGCTGTAGAGTTGGATCCCATCGCTTGCCACCAATTGTAGCGGAACGCCAATATTAAATCCACGAATTCTGCTGGTTCAGGAAGTAATCCACAGTCAAGCGATGGAAAAAGCAAGGCAATATCCCAAATCTCCCAGTAACCGGACGAAACACAGTTCTGAGAGTCAACTGAGGTCTTTATTTTCAGCTCCACAATTTATACAAGTCCCCATGCAAGGGGTTTCCTGAGTCCCATCCCAGGGGTATTCCCAGAGTGGACTACATGGGGAATTTACTGTACAGGGCATTTCTCCCATCATTTCTCCCATCAGATTTAATATATGCTGCATGAGAGGGATCCTCCCACAGGAATGTACCGTTAAGTGGATTATCCCTCCGTGCAGCAGAACCGACAATTTATATTAAAATCCATAACTTTTCGAATATGCGGTCTATTTGCACGAATGGACGTTCGGTAGATACATGTTCAAAAGACCGATTGCATTCTAGGGAACAAAATACCGAACGGCCCGGAACTCCCGAACGGCCTGGAAGCTCAGCGGTGTTCGCGCCGTTGAGTAGCCGTTTTTAGTACCATGCGCTCGACGACACCGCTGAGGGAACAAAGGATCCAAGATGGCCGACCGCCGCATGGTCGGTAGTCGAACGGCGGCCACCTCGGAGAGCCTCTAATTACCGATTGCAACATTGTTGCAATCGGTTAACAAGCGCCACACGCCTCTAAGTGTGAGGGCTATTACATGAGGGTCTTTTGGTTCATGAACGGCCCGCAAAAGTGCCGTTCGTGAAACGAAAGGAAAAACAGCTATCTGCATTCGGCAGATAGCCAATACAGCAAATACACGTTAATTACAGCCAGCATACATCACACTGAGTAAAGCACATATCCCACAACCATACAGGCAACCCTTAAAGGCACAGTCTCTTTATATTGTCCAAGTGGCTATGTTTGCCACAAACAGTATAAACAATATATAATGATAGGCCGCAAGGGAGGAGGGAGATATTAGAGATGCTAATAGTTGTTGGGTGAGATATTTAGAAAGGCTTCTAATGCGTGTATTTCTTGCATTGTACTCAGATATTGAGTCCATAATTCCTTGGAGCTTGATACCCATAGCTTTGTGAATAATAGCTTGAATGACTGTCCAATATGGAGACAGCATCACCTCACATGTAGCATCGTACCCCACTCTTACGGACATCGCCAGCACCTTTCATTTCCATCTTTTCCTATGTGTATAATCTTTGCTGGGACTAGGTACCAACGATACAAGATTTGTATGGCACATTGTGTAAGACCTTTATGATGTGCAATGCATTTTTCTACATTTCTTTGTCTATAGTGTACCAGGATACTTTATGCCATGCTTGCACAAACCTTTGCGGTTGTTATAGCTTTGGACTAATTTGTAGATGTGAGAGATATGAAAAAAAGAGAGTGTTTTGTAGGCCAGGTTTATTTTGTAATTCATGGAATGGAATACTTTTTCCTCCATTACAGATTTGATATAGATGTTTGATCCCTCCTGCATCCCATGATTCATACAGTTTTAAAGAAAATAATGGGGTAGCTAGAGACCATGGGTCTTTGAAAAAGTAGTTTTGTTGGTTGTAGAATATTTTACATTTGGGTTCTAAGGGTTTTTGGAATCCAAAATATGTATTCTACTCCTTGTTCTACTGACTGTTGGGATTAAATGTATTCCCATTGGGGTTTAGTATCTTGTGCATGTAATGCCAGTACTGTCCCCAACAACGCATGCGCATCCATAAAAAGCTTTATGACTATGTCCTCTTGGCAACTCTTGATTTCTTCTTCAGATATACAAATGTTACAAGATTTTTTTGGGATGCAAATACCAAAAAGGTTATGGTGGGGAAAAAAAAATGTGATTGAAAACCCCTTCCACCTGAAGTCTGTGGATAGTTAATACAATGTTAAACAAAAATCTGCACATCAGTCAAGCCATAAGACTTGCTTTTCCCTCACAAATCTGCAGTGATGTTACTAGCGCAAAGGACTCTGGGTGGGCATACGCAAATTAGCTTAACAAAGAATCACTTTTGTGCCTCATTACATTTTAAGCATGGATTCCTTTGAGTCTGTGTTGGCTGTATACAACAGCTTTGAAACACAACTTAGGAAAAGACGCAAAGCCCAGTGGACAGCTGTTTCATTGTTAATGCAAGTCATCAGCATGAGGTTGGTTACGGGTTTGCTTATTGAGGCTTGGTAGTGCTTGGGAAGCAAAAAACAAAGAGGTTATGGTGGGGAAAAAATTGTGCTTGAAAATGCCGGATTTCTGTGGGAAAAGCAAGTCGTATGGCTTGACTGGTGTGCAGATTTTTGTTTAACATTGTAATAACTATTTTTTGTATATAGATAAAAACATAATTGGGGATCATTTACTGTAGGTTCCTAAACCGGTATTGGAGCTTGGGTAATATCCCCATCTTTATTGCCACTATGCGGCCTGTCCATGATATAACATTTTTTTTATCCCAATCTTTAAGTGTTTGTTCAATTTCTTTCTTGCGTTCAATGTAGTTTTGAGTGTACAGGTGTGTAATATTTTTTGTAAAGTAAAACACCCAGGAATCTGAGAAAATCTTCCCTCCAATCAAATTGAAATGTTTGCTTAAGTCCATCTAGTGTTGTGTCAGGGATGTGCAGGCTCATTTCTTGCGTTTTTTGCGTATAGTAGAATTGTGCACTGTAATCTTGAATACATTGTTAAGTTGGGTAGGGAAATTAACGGTTGAGTAATTGTTAGCAAGATGTCATCTGCAAAGGAATTTGATTTGATCTCTCCTTCCCCTATTTTATGCCGTGTATCTTTAGGTTTGTCCTGATGCAGGAATGCAATGATGTATAGTAACGGCAACAGGGGACATCCCTGCTGAGTGTTGTTAGATATTGTAAAAGGATCTGACACAAATCCCCCGTTGTGACACTTGACAAAGGTTTATTATACGGTTTATGTACTATCGATATAATTTGCGCTGGAAAGCCAAATTTAAGCAAGGTTTTCTCTGCATCCAAATAAATTATTACCCCACTTCCTTTGAAGCATGCAGAGTGTGGAAGAGATTTAAAACCTTCCTTTTATTGTCACTAACCTGTCTACCTTTTACAAAACCGACCTGGTCATCTGATATGGTCGATGGGAGAACTGAGCTAATTCTGTACACGTATATTTTGGCTAAAATTTTAATGTCAGAATTTAGGAGGGATATAGCGCAAAAGTTTTGGCATTGGTTTCGTTGTGTTCCTGGATTAGGTAATGTGATTACTTGTGTTAACAAAATTTTTGGAGGAAATTGGCCAGAGTTGAGAGCCGAGTTAAACATGGTCAACATATGAAGTGCTAGTTGCTCCGAGAACAACTTATAATAGTAGTTTGGGATACCAGCTGGTCCTGGTGCCTTGTTGTATGGCAGGTTACGTATTTTCATGTTGACTTCCTCAGGAGAGATCGGTTGAGAAATTTGTGTTACATGTTCTGGTATTAATTTTAGCTAAATCAATTTATGTTGGTTGAGGTGTGTCTTTAGCTAGGTGAAGGATATATAATTGCTTGTAGTATTCTTGGCTTTTGTATAGTGGTTTAATCACATTTTCCCCTGTGGGGGTAAGAATGTGCGCAATTTTTAATTCTGCTTGCCTAGCTTTTAAGCTACCGGTCTTCTATATAGTTGAATTTATTTTCATAGGCCTCAATTTGCTCATCCATTTGTTGTATGCATTTCGTGAGGCTATTATTGTACAAAGTCCAGGTGCTGAGATCGGAAGCGTCCTTCCTTATTACACCTACCAACTTTTCTAGCTTTTGTAAAAGTTTGTCTATTGCACTGAGCAGCGGGTGGGGGCACTAAAGTAAAAAAAAGGGGGGAGGACCTATTGTCCTCCACACCGGCCCTCACCCCTGAGAGGTGGGTGAGGGCCCCACCCGAGTGGTGAGCGGTGGGTGGGGGCCCTAAATACAAATTGAGGGGGGACCTCATGTCCTCCCCCCTGGCCCCCACCCCTGAGAGGTGGGTGAGAGCCCTAAATACAAATTGGGGGTGGGGACATAATGTCCCCCACCCTGGCCCCCACAACTAGATTAAGGGGGGGACCTAATGTCCTCCCCCCTGGCCCCCACCCCTGAGCGGTGGGTGGGGGCCCTAAATACAAATTGGGGGGGGACCTAATGTCCTCCCCCCTGAGCGGCGGGTGGGGCCTAAATACAAATTTAATCCCCCTCCCCCCAGGTTTGTGTTACATGTTCTGGTGTAACACAAACCCCTAGTCACCCCTTCCCCCAAAAAATAAACTCTTACCTACCCCCCTCACCCTAAAAATAATGAGGGGCGACCTTTAACTAAATACCTGTAAAAATAAAAATAAACTTACCATTTGATGTTTTCTGTCTTCTAAAATCTTTTTTCAGCCCCAAAAAAGGCCAAATAAAAATCCATAATAACCGACGCAATTAAAAAAACCTGAGCGCAAAAAAAATAAAAATCCATCGTCACCCAGCGAGGGCTCTGCGCAGACTGAGCCTTGCTCCACCCTGCAATTAGGCTCAGAGCACTAGATGGATGGATTAAACACACCAGAGTGCTCTGACAGGTAAATGAAGAGACTGACAGGTCAGTCTCTACATTTACCTGTCACAGCACTCTGATTGGTTGGTTTGAAATCCACCAACCAGAGTGCTTTGTGTCATTTTACACAGCGTGGGAAAGTTCTTTGGAATTTTCCCACGCTGTGTAATTTGACTCATAACACTCTCATTGGTGGATTTCAAACCAACCAGAGTACTGTGACAGGTAAATGTAGAGACTGACCTGTCAGTCTCTTCATTTACCTGTCAGAGCACTCTGATTGGATGGATTAAACACTTTATAAGCCTTCCCCCGCCCTGCAGAGCTCAGTCTGCGCTGAGATCTCGCCGGGTGAAGATTAATTTTTTTTTTTGCGCTCAGGTTTTTTTTTCCCCATTGCGTTGGTTATTATGGATTTTTATTTGGCCTTTTTTAGAAGACAGAAAACATCAAATGGTAAGTTTATTTTTATTTTTACAGGTAGTTAAAGGTCCCCCCTCATTATTTTTAGGGTGAGGGGGTAGGTAGGAGTTTATTTTTTGGGGGAGGGGGTGACTAGGGGTTTGGGGGGAGGGGGGTTAATCACCTGGGGGGAGGGGGGTTAAATTTGCATTTAGGGCCCCCACCCACCTCTCAGGGGTGGGGGCCAGGGGGAAGGACATCAGGTTCCCCCCCTTTATTCTTGTTTAGGGCCCCCATCCACCTCTCAGGGGTGGGGACCAGGGGGAAGGACCTTAGGTCCCCCCCAATTTGTATTTAGGGCCTCCACCCACCACTCAGGGGTGGGGGCCAGGGGGAAGGACATTAGGTCCCCCCCTTATTCTTGTTTAGGGCCCCCATCCACCTCTCAGGGGTGGGGACCAGGGGGAAGGACCTTAGGTCCCCCCCAATTTGTATTTAGGGCCTCCACCCACCACTCAGGGGTGGGGGCCAGTGGGGAGGACATTAGGTCCCCCCCAACTTGTATTTAGGGCCCCCACCCACCGCTCAAGGGTGGGGACCAGGGGGGAGGACAATAGGTCCTATTGTCTTTGAGGACCCCCACTTGCCGCTCAGGGAGGGGGGACCCTTTTTTTTTTTTTTTTTAACAGTGAGCAGCCACAGGCTGCTCACTGTTTACTAGACATGCCCCTACTCGCGGTATAGCGAGTAGGGGCAAAATTTAGTAATACTAAGTAATTTTTACTTAGTATTAGTAAATTTGTCTGAAAGACCAATTTAGGTCTTTCAGCCTTTTGGTAGATAACTCCCTATTACCGTGGGAATTAGAGAGTTATCTACCAAGCGGCTGCAAGAAAAGTCCTGAAGTGCCGAAGTTTTCAAGTGCTGAATTGCCAAAGTCCTGAATTGACGAAGTCCCGTATTTCAGAATGCCGAACTGAGCCAAATATTTTCCCCATGCACATGCCTAGTGGGGAATGCACCAGGAATATGTAAAAGTTAACCCCTTGCTTGGTCCCATTAAAACCTGTTCCTGCTTACCCTCAACACAGAGCCTCGTCTCGTGATTGTAGGGAAAAGACATCTCTGAAGGCGGAAACCCCTCTTCTCTCGGGGTGGCTGCCACATTTGGAAGCAACAGTGGGATGCTCCTTTATCCCCAGAGGAAATGCTTAACAAATGGATAATCAGTACAAAAAGCTGAAACGACTGACTTTGAAAGATTTATTGGAAAGCAGTGGTCGTACAGCCAGCCAGCAACTGACCGCGAAAGGAACTAATTGCTGAATTAATGGAATTGGACCGAACAGCTGCAATGGCCGAACCAATTGTCCTGAACATGAAATATTGCGGTCCGTTCGGCTGAGGCTGGCGTTATATGGGTCAAATCCTACCACAGAGCTGATCAATCAAGTGTTCAATGCAGTGAAAGAAGAAGCCCGGGAGAAACGGGAACATCAACTGCGGTTGGCAGAATTACAGCAAGCGGGTAACACAGCTGTAGCCCCTACTACACTATCTGCAGAACGGAAAAAAAGTTTCTTTTGCAGCATTCAAGGACTTTCAAGAGGCAAAAGGAGAGATAGATGGCTATCTCACAGATTTTGAGAGACAGCGTGCACTACACAAAGTACCCACGGACAAATGGGTCACTATTCTATCTGGCAAGTTGTCAGGTAGAGCTGCTGAAGCCTTTCGGGCTATACCTTACGAGGATATACACCACTACCACACCATCAAGGAAGCTCTGCTCTCCCTGCATGCAGTTAACCGCGGAGATTCTGGGAATCTAAGAAGTGAGGAGGGGACTCCTACACTGAGTGGGCATGTAACTTCCACCGTACCACATCCCGCTGGGTCGCTGGATGCTAAGCCGTGTCTATTCCTCCTAGAATATTAGGATAATACACACTGGGCAAACTGTAGCTGTACGGGTGGCTGGGGGAACTGTTCACCTGGATTGGGGAGCCGGATCAGGCACAGTGAACGTGGGAGTTATGAACCAGTTACCCGCTGAAGTCCTATTGGAGAATGATTTGGGCCTCCGCTTACGTCCCTACTGATCCAGCTGAAGCCAACCCAGTTACTACACGTCTGCAGGCCAGAACTACAGAAGCCAGCCCACCAGTCAGGAAGATCCAGGTAAGACAACAGACCCCGACTACGACCATAAAACTTACCCCATTGAACTGGGATGTTTGGCAGGGAGACAAGGGAAGATCCGTCCCTCCAGTACTATAGGGCCAAGGCAGAGACTGAGCAAGGGGGATTGGAGGGAGAGAGGGTTATTTGGGAACAGGTTAACTGAGACTCACAATCCCAGAAGTAACAGCTAGTGGTTCCCAGGAAATACCGGTTGGAGGTTCTTCAGATTGGGCACGCTATACCTCTAGCCGGACACCTGGGAGTACATCGCACATCCCATCGAGTAACCCAGAACTTCTTTTGGCCCGGAGTCTCTCGGAATGTGCGACAATACTGTAGGACTTGTGACATCTGTCAGCAAGTAGGGAAAAGAGAGGATCATCCCAAGGCCCAACTGCTATCCATACCCATTATTGAAGAACCCTTCAGCCGGATAGCAGTCGACCTAGTAGGTCCGCTACCGAGACCCAGTCCATCCAGTAAGAAGTATATACTTACCGTGGTGGACTATTCTGCCCGCTACCTGGAAGCCGTCGCCCTCTCGAAGATTCAGGCAGACACTGTAGCCAGTGCACTGGTTGGAATCTATGCCAGGGTAGGGTTTCTAAAGGAAATCCTCTCCGACTAGGGGACTCAATTTACCGCAGACCTTACCTATCAGTTATGGAAGGTCTGTAGTATCAAGCCCCTACTCAGTTTACCATACCACCCCTAGACTAACGGTGTCTGTGAAAGGTTTAACGGTACCCTCAAACAAATGTTGCGGACTGTAAAGGATCCTTCTATTCATGCAGTGCTGATCCTTGTAGCTCCTCCCGAAATCCAGCTGAAACAAAGTGATTTTAGCTCCCAATCCCCCAAACATGATTCGAGACTTCATGAAGGGGTAAAATGATCTGATTTAATGGGGGCTACCTGCCCGGTATTTATGCAGGTCTCCCACCTGGTGGACACTCACCTAGGGGACCAGATGGAAGACTGGGACAAAAGAATTACAGTAGCCAATCGCAGTGGCTCCAACATAAGCACTCCCCTTTGCATAGGTAAATCCCTCCTCTCTATCCTGGAGATAATTAACTTAAGTTAGTAAAAGAGACCTTAATTATCTCCAGGTAGAGAAAAACATGTCTTTTTATATACTCCCAAAACAGTATTAAAATCTATAACTTATATTTTACTGAACATAAACTTTAAGTCCCACATACCCCCAGATAGCTTGGATCTAAGCGCACATTATAGGCAAATAGCGCTCAGATCCCACGAACACAGTTCTCAATATCGTCGAATGAAGTTTGGACTTCACCGGTGGTTCGCGTGTTTGTATCCGATAAAGAGTTCCATAACTGTAGCTATCTGGGGTCGGTCTATTTCACATCGCATAAAAGTCCCAAACGGTGAAATGTTCCCGGCATTTGTGGGGTTCCAGCTGTATGAACGGGGACCTTGGTAGGTACCAGCGGTGTTCGGCGGAATAAGTGTCCGAAAAGAGTTCCAGGGCATCGCCGCCATTTACCACTGAGCGTTTGACAATTTAAAATGGCAACCGCCACGTGTTCGGCAGACGAACGTGGCCCACCAAGCTGTTCCCCAATTACTCTGTGGTTAACCGCAAGGTCTGGGCGGTTAATGAGCGCCACACGACCTCCATAGGAGGTCGGGTGATTCGGTAGTTTGTTTGTTTAATTGGTATTTGCACAAAATCACCACACACACGCATAAATAACCGAACAGGTTGTTTCTCATAGTCTGTTTAAAATGGGATTTCATTACAAGGACCTTTACGGACGAGTACAGAGACTGGGAGCGATTCCTGCCTCACCTGCGCATCGAGAGGTGCCTCAGGAATCTACTGGGAGAAGGGTACGAGGTCCCCTTGATCTCATTTGGGAAATCTGGGAATGGGGAACGGAACATGAGGGAGTTATCTCATAGTACCATATGTGCTGGAACTCCGGGACCGCATGGAGCTGATGGCCAAGATGGCAAAGGAAAATCTCCAAGCGACCTGGGGGCAACAAAAGGCTGCAGACACTTCTCAATTAAACCGAATTCAGGGTGGTCGTCGTTCGTATGTCGACCACGAGGCAGCAGCCATTTTAAACCACGCGAAAGCCCAGCGGTGTTTGGCTCTTTTTCTATGGAACTAAAAACGGACACTTTTTCTGCCGAACACCGCTGAAACAACGGAACGCCTGGCTGCCTCCACGAAAGCATACGAATACCGGCCGTTCGGGAGGTTTGAAGCATACGAAAAGACTTAACCCAGATAGCCTTCCCATGGAGTCATTCGTATACCGAAAGACTGTAAGAACTTTGACTCCATGGCGATTGAACTATGTGTGTGGGATCTGAGCGCTATTCGCTAATAATATGCACTCAGATTCAGGCTATCTGGGGATATGCGATGCGAACGGGAAATGTTCGGTTATTTTAAAGTTATGTATTTTTATGTCTTTTTGGGTTTTATATTTAAAATGGCGACTGGCTTTGTCCTGGAGATAATTGAGTTACTTGGTAATTATCTCCAGGGCAGAGGGGAGGGAATCATAGTGCATTGTGGGTAAAAACTGTGACTGTGTGTCTGGAATGTCCCCATATCTGTCTGTCATTTAAGTCTCCCATTTGGTCCCCTAGGGGAGTGTCCACCAAGTGGGAGACCTGCATAAATACGGGCAGGTAGCCCACAGTAAAGCCAGATCCTGTTTGACCCTCAATGCAGAGCTTCTGTCTCGTTATTGGGGGGATTTCTTCTTCACGTTTAGAGACTGCTGGATGGAAACGAAAGCCGCTTGGTGGATGTTATTGTTCGGCGGCTAGCAGCAGTTCGTGTATTGCCGTTCGGGAGTTTGGAGCCGTTCACGGATCCCGGTCGGGAGATTGCCGCTTCCCCTGCATTTAGTTCGTGTACTGCAGGTTAGGCGAACGGAGTTACTGAGATTGCAGACGGGGAAGGTCGACTAAATGGCGGTTTTGCCTAAAGACACTGGAGGTGTCTTAACAATTGGTGGCGAGCGACGGGATGAATCCCACAGCACTGGAGGTCAGCTACAAGACATGCAGTAAGAGGAATTAAGGCGTGCTACACTTAAGGATATATTAGAACGTCGAGGAAGGTCAGCAAGCAATTTAAAAAAGAGAGAAATTATTGCTTTACTACTGGAGATGGATGCAGCACCGGGACTGGAGAGCGCTAATGTACCCAGTACCTTGGATTTAACACCCGAGGAATTACAATTTAACCGGGCAGTGCAAATAAGGCTGGCACATTTTGGCCCCAACCCCTCAGCTGACATCGTGGAGCGTGTGCAGGCAGCAGTAACAGCACACCAGGCGCTCCGGGAAAGAGGAGCTGCAGCAGCAGAGGTACCCAATAATAATTTTGCTAGAAAGAAGGTACCCTTTGCTGCATTTAAAAATTTTGTGGAAACAGAGGGAGAGATTGATGGGTTCCTGGCGGACTTCGAGAGGCAGTGTGCCCTACACCAGGTACCCGCAGATGAATGGGTCACCATCCTCTCTGGGAAATTATCCGGCCGGGCTAGTGAAGCATTTCGGGCCATCCCAGAGGAGGAGATCACCAGCTACCGGGCTGTGAAGGATGCACTCCTAGCCAGGTATGCGGTGACCCCAGAAGCCTACAGACGGCGATTAAGGGAATCCAACAAGCAGGTTGGTGACTCTTATGTGGAGTGGGCCTGCAGAGTTCATCGTACCGCAGCCCACTGGATGGCAGGATGCCAAGCGGTAACTGGGGAGGAAGTGCTACAAGTGTTCTTGCTGGAGCACTGCTTTGATAGACTACCTGCTGGGGTCCGGGAGTGGGTCAGAGATAGAAAACCCTCTACCCTACCCGAGGCTGCTCGTCTGGCAGACGAATACACGGACGCCCGCAAGTTGGATAGTACAGCTGCCAAGGTCCCTGCCAGACTGGAGTATCGACCAGCAGTAACTCCAGCTCCTTCAGCATACCAACCCTCAGTACACCGCACCCCAGCCGTACCGCCAGCTAATAACTATGTGCAACCCTCTCGGTTCAATGCCAGGGACTTTTCGCAACTGCTTTGGGTGCAAACAGTTGGGGCACAAGCGACCGGAATGCCCTCTGAACAGCGCCAATCAGGCCCAGTCATGGAGGAGACCAGCCAACGGGAACCAGCGGCCACCTCAACCTGCAGCTCACTGTATTGAGCAGGAGGAGTTCTGGGGCATTCTACACGAAGCCGACCCAGTGCAAGCAGCTCATCAGGACAACCGCCAGCAACATCGGCAAACTGTGAAGCTGAATGGCAGAGTGGTAAATGGGCTGAGAGACACAGGAGCCACGATGACACTGCTCCAAAAGTCTCGGAGCATCAGCACACTGGGGACACTGTGGCGGTGAGGGTAGCAGGGGGTGCCGTGTTTCGTTTACCTGTTGCCCGGGTACATTTGGATTGGGGAGTGGGCGCTAGACACGTGGATGTGGGGGTTATGAAAGACTTGCCCGCTGATGTCCTCCTTGGGAATGATCTGGCCCCCTTAGTTTCAGCCTATGCCCCGATGGGCCCTGCGGACGATAACCTAGTGACTACTCGTGCCCAGACCCGTTCTGCTGGATCCGGCCCACCTGCTGATGAGACCCAGGTAAGACCCTCTTCCCCGACTGGTACCTTAGATCAGGTCACCTTAAGCTTAGTAAGGCTTAAGGAGTTTGGGAGGGAAACCCGGTAGACCCGACTCTCCAGAAATACCGAGATAGGGCAGATGCTGGAGAGGAAGGAGAAGATGGGGAACAGTATGAGTGGGTGGGGGACCGGTTATACAGGATCCCTAAGCCTTTCCAGAAGAGTGTTGCCCCTCCGCCGAATCGTCAGTTAGTGGTACCTGCAAAGTACCGGCAGGAGATTCTGCGAATAGGGCATGATGTTCTGTTAGCTGGACATCTAGGGTCCCGCCGCACAGCCTATAGGATCTCACAGAACTTCTTTTGGCCAAACTTTAACCAGGCTGTGCGGATGTATTGCAGTACGTGTGACACGTGTCAATGTTTAGGAAAGCGGGGGGACCACCCTAAGGCTAGGCTATTATCGATGTCTATTATAGGGGAGCCCTTTGCCCGCATAGCCGTTGACATTGTGGGTCCACTGGCCAAGGCTAGTCCATCAGGTAAGAAATACGTTCTTACCGTGGTGGACTATGCCACTCGCTATCCAGAGGCAGTAGCGCTGTCTAATATAGAGGCAGAGACGGTTGCTGATGCCCTGGTTAGAATTTTTACTAGGTTCGGGTTTCCTAAGGAGATCCTCTCCGACCAGGGAACCCAATTCACCGCTGTGCTCACCCAGCAGCTGTGGAAGGTGTGTGGCATTAAGCCGTTACTTAGCTCACCCTACCACCCACAGACTAAAGGTCTCTGCGAGCGCTTTAACGGTACCCTCAAACAGATGCTGAGGACCTTTACAGATACTTGCAGAGACTGGGAGAGGTTCCTGCCTCATCTGTTATTTTCTTACAGAGAGGTGCCCAAGGAATCCACTGGGTTCTCCCCCTTTGAGCTGCTGTATGGGAGAAGGGTCCGCGGACCCCAGGATCTCATTCGAGGCCACTGGGAGGGGGAGACGGAGCAGGAGGGCACCCCCATAGTGCCATATGTTCTGGAACTCCGCGACCGCATGGAGTTGTCTTTGATGGTAAGGGAGAATCTCCAGGCGGCCCAGGGGAGACAGAAGAGATGGTACGATCAGGGTGCCCGACAGCGGGTCTTCCAGGTTGGGCAAAAGGTATTGGTGCTCAAACCTGTGAAGGCCAACAAGATGCAAGCATCTTGGCAGGGCCCGTACAAGGTAGTGGCGCAGATCTGCGATACTACTTACTTGATAGCCAGCTGTGCAGATGAGAGGATCCAGCGATCCTTCCATGTGAACATGCTGAAGGAGTACCAGGAAAGACCTGAGAACATTGCAGCCGTATGTGCCCCAGCTGCAGATGATTCTGAGAATTTACCCCTTCCAGATTTATTAGAAAGGGATTCCCAGACTGACCTTACTACCCGTGTACAGCTAGGGGACAGGTTGAACCCAACAGAAAGGGTACAGGCGCAGCAGTTGTTGTGGGAGAAGCAGGCGACGTTCTCCCAGGAACCAGGTTATACCACCCTAGCTGTACATACGGTAGAGACCCCTGGACAGACCCCCTTACGACAGCCCCCCTATCGTATCCCTGAAGCAGTCCGTGAAGGAATGTGGAAGGAGATACAGGAGATGACCCAGCTTGGGGTCATCGAGCACTCCGACAGCCCTTGGGCCTCGCCTGTAGTCCTGGTACCCAAGAAAGATGGGACCACTCGGTTCTGTGTGGACTACAGGCGGCTCAACGAGCGGACCACCACTGACGCCTACCCAATGCCCCGGGTAGACGAATTACTGGATCGTATTGCCAGGGGGCGATATCTGACCACCATAGACCTGTGTAAGGGCTACTGGCAGATCACCCTAGCCGAGGATGCTATCCCCAAGTCGGCATTTGTCACCCCATTTGGCCTGTACCAATTTAAGGTCATGCCTTTTGGGATGAAAAATGCACCGGCTACCTTCCAACGGATGGTGGATAGACTCCTGGATGGCTTCCAAGAGTTTGCCTGTGCATACTTGGACGACATTGCGATTTACAGTGGGTCCTGGGAGGAACACCTGGTACACGTGGGGGTAGTGCTGGATAAAATTCGGGCCGCTGGCCTGACATTGAAGCCAGACAAGTGCCATCTAGGTATGGCTGAAGTACAGTACCTGGGTCACAGAGTGGGGTGTGGGAGCCAGAGACCAGAGCCAGCCAAGGTAACTGGCTGTGGCTAACTGGCCCACACCTACCACTAACACCCAGGTATTGGCCTTTTTGGGGACGGCAGGGTACTACAGATGTTTTGTCCCTGACTACAGCACTATTGCTAAGCCCCTGACAGACCTGACGAAGAAGAACTTGCCTAAGCAGGTCCTGTGGTCTCCGGCTTGTGAAGCTGCGTTCCAGGCACTAAAACAGGCTCTTGTGAATGCCCCTGTCTTGGATGCCCCAGTCCCTAACAAACGCTTTCTCGTCCACACAGATGCTTCCATGTATGGACTGGGGGCTGTGCTGAGCCAAGTCGGGGAAGATGGAGGAGAGCACCCTGTCGCATTTCTCAGCAGAAAGTTGTTACCCAGAGAAGTGAGTTATTCGGCAGTGGAGAAGGAGTGCTTGGCCTTGGTCTGGGCATTGAAAAAGTTAAGTCCCTACTTGTATGGGCAAGCGTTTTCCCTTGTGACTGATCATAACCACCTCGTTTGGCTTAACCCTGTCTCAGGAGATAATGGGAGACTACGGAGATGGAGCTTGGCATTGCAGCCCTACAATTTTACCATCAGCTACAGACCCGGTAAGCTGAATGGGAATGCAGATGGGTTATCATGACAAACAGACGTCTCCACCACTTCCTAGTCCGGTCATCCCCAAGTTGACCCGCCAAAGGGTCAAGCCGGGTCTGCCGGTGTGTCCCACAAGGAGTGAGCCGTGTGACAGAACCATCTGTCTGCTTATTTCAGGTGGATTCGTCTATTTCTGCCCCTTTCGTGTAAATGGCTGTTTCTATAGCCCAGCCATACGAATGACTGTTTTTTCCTGAACAAACCTACCGAACAGACGGCCACCCAGGAGAGAAGTGTGCTGCTGGTTAACCTATTTGTAACAAAATCCCCTATTTACAGACTATACGAACAAGCCTGTTCAGTTATTTGGAGAATTACAGTGGGATTTCGTGGAAATAACAATAAATGCGAATGAACTACCGAACCACCGACCTCCCACTGAGGTCGTGCGGCGCCTATTGACCACCCTGACTGTTGCGGTTAACCACAGACTAATTGGGGAATAGCTGGTGGTCCACGTTCGTCTACCGAACACGTGGCAATCGCCATTTTGTTTTGTCGAACGCACAGCGGTAAATGGCATGGATTCCCTGGAACTGATTTCGGCTACCTATTTTGTCGAACACCGCTGTTACCTTCTCTCATCCTTGTTCATACGGTGGAAAACACACAAATGAAGGGGATAATACTTCATTCGTGCGCTGAAAGTATGCGAACGTAACCGACCCCAGATAGTTAGAATATGGAACTTGCAGTCGGCTGCAAACACATGAACGGCCGGTGAAAGGCAAACTTCAGTCGACGATTCTGAGACCTGTGTTCGTGGGATCTGAGCGCTATTCGCCTAGAATATGCCCTCAGATCCAAGCTATCTGGGGATATGTGGAACTGAAAGTTTATGTTGTGTAAAAAGAAAATTATGTATTTTTATTCTGTTTTTGCTAACTAAGAAAAGCCATGTTTCTTTCTTCATGGAGATAATTAAGGCTCTCTTTGCTACCTTAATTTAATTATCTCCAGGATGGAAAAGAGGGAGTGATTTAGGTAAAAGGGGAGTGCTTATAATATAGCCACTGTGATTGGCTACTGTGTTGCTTTTGTCCCAGTCTTCCATCTGGTCCCCTAGGGGAGTGTCCACCAGGTGGAAGACCTGCATAAATACCGGGCGGGTAGCCCACAGTAAATCAGATCGTTTTACCCCTTCATGAAGTCTCGACTCATGTTTGGGGAATTGGGAGTTATAATCACTTCGTTTCAGTTGGAGTTCGGGAGAAGCTGCAAGGATCATCGCTGCACGAATGCAAGGATCCTTTACACTATTGATCCCAATTAGAACGTTGTGGTTAACCGCAGACACTTCTCAATTAAACCGAATTCAGGGTGGTCGTCGTTCATATGTCGACCACGAGGCAGCGGCCATTTTAAACCACGCGAAAGCCCAGCGGTGTTTGGCTCTATTTCTATGGAACTAAAAACGGACAGTTTTTCTGCCGAACACCGCTGAAACAACGGAGCGCCTGGCTGCCTCCACGAAAGCATACGAATACCGGCCGTTTGGGAGGTTTGAAGCATACGAAAGGACTTAACCCAGATAGCCTTCCCATGGAGTCATTCGCAGGTAGCCCACAGTAAAGCCAGATCCTGTTTGACCCTCAATGCGGAGCTTCTGTCTCGTTATTGGGGGGATTTCTTCTTCACGTTTAGAGACTGCTGGATGGAAACGAAAGCCGCTTGGTGGATGTTATTGTTCGGCGGCTAGCAGCAGTTCGTGTATTGCCGTTCGGGAGTTTGGAGCCGTTCACGGATCCCGGTCGGGAGATTGCCGCTTCCCCTGCATTTGGTTTGTGTACTACAGGTTAGGCAAACGGAGTTACTGAGATTGCAGACGGGGAAGGTCGACTAAACGGCGGTTTTGCCTAAAGACACTGGAGGTGTCTTAACACACACTAAGCAAGGTAAGTTACAGATGGCATGGCAGGTCCCTTACAGAGTAGTGGAACAATTATGTGACACCACGTACATAATTGCCAGCTGTGCTGACGAAAGTATCCGGAGATCCTTTCACGTTAATATGTTAAAGGAATATCAGGAAAGGCAGGAAGACATAGCTGCTGTATGTGCCCCAGTCACAGACGACCCCGACAGTCTTCCCCTACCTGACCTATTGGAGAGGGATTCTCAGCAAGGTAAAGCTAGGGGACCGATTAACGTCTGTAGAGAGGGATCAGGTCTGTCAGTTACTAGAAGGCAAGAGACAGATCTTCTCCCAAGAACCTGGGTTAACTACACTAGCCACTCATAGAGTAGAGACCCGCTCAGGCAACTGCCCTACCGTATTCCTGAAGCCATCAGAGATGGAATGCGGGGGGATATCCAGGAAATGTTACATAGTTACATAGCTGAAACTTGCATCCATCAAGTTCAGCCTTCCTCACATTTGTTTTTTGCTGTTGATCCAAAAGAAGGCAAAAAAAACCAGTTTGAAGCACAATTTTACAACAAGCTAGGAAAAAAATTCCTTCTTGACCTCTGAATGACAGTCAGATTTATCCTTGGATCAAGCAGTTATTACCCTACATGTTGAAGCTAGGAGTTATTGAACCCTCAGATAGTCCGTGGGCTTCACCGGTAGTCCTCGTACCCAAGAAAGATGGAACCACCTTGTTCTGCGTGGACTACTGGCGACTAAACGACCGGACCATGACAGATGCCTACCTGATGCCCTGGGTAGATGAACTCTTAGATCGTATAGCCAGGGGACACTATCTGACCACCCTAGATCTCTGCAAAGGATATTGGAAGATTCCCCTGGCTGAGGAGGCCATCCCCAAGTCGCTTTCATCACCCCTTTGGCTTGTACCAATTTAAGGTCATGCCATTCGGGATGAAAAATGCCCTGGACACCTTTCTTCGCTTGGTGGATAGACTCCTCGATGGCTTCCAGGATTTTACTTGTGCGTACCTGGATGATATTGCTTTCTACAGACAGAAGGGAACTATAGGACATGGAGTCTGATCATCCCACTGCAGGGATACACAGATAGAAGGGATCTATGGTACATCAAGTCTGTCCCTCCCAATGCACAGTGAAACAGACAGAAGGAGCAATGGGATACGGAGTGTGTCCCTCCCACTGCAGGGTGACACTGACAAAAGAAGCAATTGGATACGGAGTGTGTCCCTCCCACTGCAGGGTGACACAGACAGAAGGAGCAATGGGACAGAGAGTCTGTCTCTCGCACTGCAGGGTGACCCAGACAGAAGGAGCTATGAGACACAGAGTCTGTCCCTTCGCTGCAGGGTGACACAGACAGAAGAAGCTATGCGACAAAGTCTGTACCTCCCACTGCCGGGTGACATAGACAGAACTAGCTATGGGACATAGTTCTGTAGGGTGACACAGATAGAAGGAGCTATGGGACACTGAGTATGTCCCTCCCACTGCAGGGTGACACAGACAGAAGGAGCTACGGGACACAGAGTATGTCCCTCCCACTGCAGGGTGACACAGACAGAAGGAGCTATGGGACACTGAGTATGTCCCTCCCACTGCAGGGTGACACAGACAGAAGGAGCTACGGGACACAGAGTATGTCCCTCCCACTGCAGGGTGACACAGACAGAAGGAGCTATGGGACACTGAGTATGTCCCTCCCACTGCAGGGTGACACAGACAGAAGGAGCTACGGGACACAGAGTATGTCCCTCCCACTGCAGGGTGACACAGACAGAAGGAGCTATGGGACACTGAGTATGTCCCTCCCACTGCAGGGTGACACAGACAGAAGGAGCTACGGGACACAGAGTATGTCCCTCCCACTGCAGGGTGACACAGACAGAAGGAGCTATGGGACACACAGTCTGTCCCTCCCACACAGAGTCTTCCCCTAGCAATACAGGGTGATACAGAGAGAATATGGGATGAAGACTCTAAAACTGCACAGTGATAAAGGAAATAACACTTGTGTTGCAGAATGATACACAGTTATATTTCATGACATTTATTAAAATGTTGCAGGATTAAGCAGTCTATGGATCCGTCAGATACAGATTGAGCTATGGGACACGAAGTCTGTCCCTCCCACTGCAGGGTGATACAGATAGAAGGAGCTATAGGACACGGAGTCTGTCCCTCCCACTGCAGGGTGACATAGACAGAAGGAGCTACGGGACACGGAGTCAGTCCTTCCCACTGCAGGGTGACATAGATAGAAGGAGCTACGGGACACGTAGTCTGTCCCTCCCACTGCAGGGTGACAGACAGAGGGACTTCACCGGTGGTTCCTCCCACTGCAGGGACACTGAGTCTGTCCCTCCCACTGCAGGGTGACATAGACAGAAGGAGCTACGGGACATGGAGTCTGTCCCTCCAACTGCAGGGTGACACAGACAGAAGGAGCTATGGGACATGGAGTCTGTCCCTCCCACTGCAGGATGACACAGACAGAGGGAGCTATGGGACACTGAGTCTGCCCCTTCCACTGTAGGGTGACAGACAGAAGGAACTATGGGACACGGAGTCTGTCCCTCCCACAGCAGGGTGACACAGACAGAAGGAGCTATGAGACACGAGTCTTCCCCTAGAAATACAGGGTGATACAGAGAGAATATGAGATGAAGACTCTAAAACTGCACAGTGATAAAGGAAATAACACTTGTGTTGCAGAATGATACACAGTTATATTTCATGACATTTATTAAAAAGTTGCAGGATTAAGCAGTCTATCGATCCGTCAGATACAGATTGAGTGAGTGGAAGGAGCTGGCGAGACATACGAGACGAGCAGGGGATTGGTTGGTAGAACTTTGATTGGAAGGTCCCAGCTAAAGGTATCCACGTCAATGTGTGCTGCTCCGGTCCACGTTATAATCTCGGACTGATTTTCGGGGACAGTTGGAGCTTCCACCGGTTCCCGCGCAGTGACAAACTCAAAATGAAGACGCCACTTCAGGGATACTGCAAAAAGCAAGATCAAGTAAGTCTGATGACAACTTATAATGAAGAAATATCCTCACACACTATATCACATTATTCAACCAAGAACAGAGTCAGTTTTGCCAATGTTACTGTAACCTGACTCAATACTAGTAACTTTACAATTTCTAAAAGAAAAATTAGTAAACTGAAGCTGTGAACCTGAAATCTAAAGGAATTATCTGCCTGCCTTGTGGCTGCCTTCTTCTTATAAACAGTTACCAAACGCGTTAATTCCTGGATGCTTAATTACTCCCAGAAAATGGAGGAATTGCTTAAATGAATTATATTCACAAAATATTCTTAAACTTTCCCATAAACCCTCACACAGTGCGCAATGCAATAAATTCACCCAGTGACCTTAAACCATGTGACAGAGCCACACACCATCACACAGTGCGCAAAGCCATGATAAAATAAATACACCCAGTGACCTTAAACCATGTGACAGAGCCACACACCATCACACAGTGCGCAAAGCAATGATAAAATAAATACACCCAGTGACCTTAAACCATGTGACTGAGCCACACACCATCACACAGTGCGCAAAGCCATGATAAAATAAATACACCCAGTAACCTTAAACCATGTGACTGAGCCACACACCATCACACAGTGCGCAAAGCCATGATAAAATAAATACACAATAAATACGCTCTATATTCTCTGTCCCTATGATGAATCTGTGGTTCTTGCTAGGTCCAAGCCTACCCAGATGCAAGATATCCCTTTACTGAAGGAGGAGGTAATTAGCCCTGATATAATGAGAGCCCACTCCCCTGAGCACAAACACTCACCAATATTGGTGCTGAATCCAGGACAGGAGCTGAGTGGGAGCGGAAGGCTGAAGTGGCTGCAGGCTGTGTGCAGACAGGACTCTAGGTGCTGCGCATGCGTGCTGATAGTTACAGGCTGGCTGCGGGATCGTCGGTACTCTTCTTGTACACTCTCCTCAGCCTGGAGACACACACAGTACTGTGGGGCAGAGGGTGCACACACCACGTGAATATAAACCTATCCCAGCATGCCTCACCTAAATGTATTGCCTTCATAAAGACCCGCACCTGCAGATCCTAAGTGCTCTTCACTTACCTGCAGACAAGGGATTTCACCATCAGAGAAATTAAATGTTCCAATAATGTCTTCTCCAATTTTATAAACAGTCTTAAAGATACAGAAGGTCCCAACACGGCCACGTGCATTACTGATGTTATACTGATCTGGTAAGATAATGAACAAGAAGCATTAATATCCCCAAACTCTGTAAGGAAACTTACCCAGCCTAATGAGCGCTGGATACAGGGCTTGCCAGCAAGAAGCATAGCATATGCCATAATTGCCATCTCTAATGCTGGGAAATGGGGCCATTCAAGGTGCCGGGCAGTGGGTGAGGCCATGGTGGCCATCCGAGGTGCCAGGCAGTGGGTGAGGCCATGGTGGACATCCGAGGTACAGGGCAGTGGGTGAGGCTATAGTGGACATCCGAGGTACAGGGCAGTGGGTGAGGCTATGGTGGACATCCGAGGTACAAGGCAGTTGGGAGGTGTCGTGCAGTGGGTGAGGCCATGGTGAAAGTCTGAAGTGCCAGACAGTGGGCGAGGACACGATGGCAGTCCGAGGTGCCGGGCAGTGGGTGAGGCCATGGTATCTGAGCTGCCGGCAGTGTGAGGTACAGTCAGTGGGGACCAGCATGTAGTATATCACAATATCACTATACTGGAAACTTAGTTTCAATAAAACTGTGACATTGCCCTGTGGCCCTTGTACTCACGGAGGTTCCGGCGTGATGTAACTGCCATCAGAATCTCTACTGCCGAATCCAGAAGTCGGGAGTCCCTCTTCCCGATCTCCTCCTCATCCAGGAATGGGTTGGAAGGCGCAACCTCCTCTTCTTGTGGGAGCTGGAACCCCTGCAACGCTGACAAAGAAATCAACACATATTAGTGCTCCAGGAGCTATTCACTAAACACAGGGAAGACAGAAGTATCTAGCTTACTTTGTTCACTCCTTCTCACATCTATAAAATGTTCAGTTTAATGACTACACCTCAGTGTGGTTCACATTGCAATCAGACAAGTTAGACCATTGCTCACGATTACGGCCTTCTGTGCCTTTTGTATTGGTCTGTTTATATAGTACAGCACTGGAAACATGTTGACGCTTTATAAATGCCAGTGATAATATTAATAAACCCCCACAATTGAAAGCAGATATTAAAATCCAGTCGGGATACTATAATGGAAATAGGTGAATGAAAGTTTGAGGCTTTAAAAGATTTTTTTTTTTTTAAATTAACAGAAAAAAAAATATGTTTTAATTGTAGAAGCATTGGTACTACCTGGTTACCTCAGGTGAAAGAATTAAAAAAAAAAAAACAAACACCAAACTTTAGCTAGAGCTCACCACCCTCCCTAAACTAACTAATTAGTAATAAGAAACACGACACACAGCTTGCTAATGTCTGGAGTCTGTTTATAAAAGCACAGATTTTTAAATAAATTGTGACTTTTAGTATTGGGAGAAACTCCTCCCTGGATGTCACTCAGACAGCGAGGGAGGTTTTCTTTCACATCCATTAACACCACAGAGCTAACGGAAGTGAGAGGTACGGTGTGACAGTGTGTGCCTATCCCCCTTCTCTATATTCCTTATTACACATGAAAGCCAAAATGGTGTGGCTCCAGCTCCAGCACAGAGGATTTCCCAATAGGTTATTTTCGTGACACAGACTGGGCTGGGGAAAAAGGAGAAGGCTTGCCAAGGCTGCAGACAAGAGATCTGCAACTTTTGTACGTTCTTTTTAAATATATCCACCAAGGAAAACATGTGGAAATAAACTAATGCATGTTTTCATTAGGGGTATATCTACTAAACTGGCATCTGTTGTTTCTTTTTTGGGGTTTTGGCCTTTTTAACTACAAGCAATTGTTTTAACAAGAAGTCAAAAAAACTACCAAACAATCTGCCTTGTTGAAATGGCAATCCGAACAGGAAATTCTTGGAGCGAAATTCAGCAGCAAAGCCAGGCAGCTCTTCTGGTCACAGTGATGAGACCATGAAACGAAGAAATTCCCCAGCCAATCTGACAGATCGACCGAGGACTTGTGTGCAGTAACTGTATTGGCGTGACCGCACTAATCAGACGCGGCCACACTGATACGAGCACCAGGGGCCATTACAGGCCATTCTGAGAGATTCTAGAGGGTTATTAGGTCATTCTGAGAGATTCTAGATGGGTTTCAGACCAATCAGATTCTAGATGGGGTTCAGGCCATTCTGAGAGATTTTAGAAGGGATTCAGGCCATTCAGAGAGATTCTAGAGGGTTATCAGACCGTTGTTAGAGATTGTAGAGGGGGTTTCAGGACATTCAGATTGATTTTAGAAGAGTTTCAGGCCATTCTGAGAGGTTTTAGAAGAGTTGCAGGCCATTCTGTGGGTTGTTTACGAAAGGCTTTAGGCTACTGCCTCTAAGTGTTGCTTCAAAGTGTGTGCTTGGAGAATTTTACTGAT